TCGGTCTTACTGCTTCCGTGGCCATATGTTATCTTACCTTGTTACGCTCATTGTTGTCTTCGCACAATAGGTCAAGACAGGTATTTTCAGGTGAGCCGGCACCTCCTTCAGCGCCGGACTCGCTGCCTAGGGGGAACTGTCACCACCCGACAGGATAGCAGGGTTTGGACGTCGGATCATGTGGCGGCGCGTTCCACGTAGCATCCTTGCTTTGTGTTTACTGCTTGTGTTATGTTACTGCTTCGCGTGTATGTGTGCGCAGGCATGGGCATGCATGGGGAGTAGGGGTGGTGAGAATACATCGGTAGGTAGGTCGAGCGCGGGGAGGTTTCCACATTGAGGCGTGTGGTAACGCAGCAGCGGGTGGCTTGGGGGTTGGTGTATGTGGGGGACAGTAGCAGGGTTCACGGCATGAATACCTGGCTGCCGCCAGCCGAATGGCGCATGAGCGTCATGATGATATGTGTAGCAGCGTGGGGTTATTCACGTGCTGCGGTCTGCAGTGCTGGATTTGTAACTCTGGGCTTTAACGGCCCTGCTTTAAACCTCAATACGTTCTGTGTGTTGTGTGCGTGTTTTTATGCCAGAAAAGAATGAGCCATAGCAGGAGGACGAAGAAGGCGAGAAGATGAAAGATTTCCAACTGTGGGGTTGTTGGTGTGAAACGAGAAGGGAGAGATTTCACGGCCCGGCCGTTGACGTCCAGTATGTTATATCGATTTTACACACTGGCGCAGGCGCCTAGCGCCTCCGGGGCCTGACTCCCCGGCTCGTATCACCAGAAGGCAGAAGGCCGCTGCTCAATCCTTCCGAGAGCCCCGGACAGCTTCAGCAGCCTGTCCGGTGACCAATGACCAATTGAGCAGTACCCCAGTGGTTGTATCCCCTCTGCATTTCCTTTCTGCCGCCGTCCTTTGGACTTGTTTCAGAATTTGTTGCACAAGCGTTCCTTGTATCGGTTCAAACGTTGTATTCAATCCGAGGCTCGTCCTGGTCGCACGGCTCTTGCTTGCTCTTCTTTCTTTCTTTCTCGGACG